AAGGTAAAATACTTAGGTTTCATTCCGGTCTAAAAGAGGAGATATGGTGTTTATAAAAACCGACAATGTGAAGTGATGGAAAAACAAGTAAAATAACATGAAATAGGGGTGAATAAAAAATGTTCCATTTGAATAAAAATAAATTAATTCTTAAATGGTTCTTAACAAATCAAATATAAAGTGATCATATTTTTTGAAACTTATACATATTTATAAAACAAATTCAAAGTTTTTGTGTAATTATTTCTACCAATTTTATCTTTAAAATTTAAAATTATTTATTTATTAGTCTATCATCGTGCAATTAATTAAATAATTTAATTTAAAGTGAATTGTTTTTTTTAAAAAAATTTAAAAATAAACAATTGTTAATATTAGTGGCGTGTGACACTAGTGACAATATAAGTTACGGCCGTTCTAGATGAAATTTAAAGTGTCAAGCTCTTAAAATTATGCAAACACCTCAGAAACAATTGTCCTCTAAGACTACTTGTTAAAATATTCAAATAAAAAGTTTATGTTGAAAAAAGTATTAAAAAGAATTGATTATAAATTTTAATTAAATTAATACACAATTTTCAAAATAAACTCTCAACATTCATCATAAATATTGCATTTATATGTTTCTTAAAATATGCCCTGAGTTGACAAGTTCGCATTACCCATTTTTATAAATTATATCTTGTATTTAAATAAAAAATGTAATGGAATCTTTAAATAAATCTTAAAAATCAAACCTAAAATTAACATACTAACTATGAATACTAATTAAAAAAATTTAAGAATCTTTAATCAATCTTAATAAATCAAATCTAAATTAATATTCTAATATAAGTTTAAATCTATACGTGTATTTGGGAGCTTTTAATATGCTCTAGTCTAATGTTGGACCTAATTATTTTTAATAAATTTGATAAAATATTATGTTTGTATTATATTTTCTATTATCAAGGTAATCAAAATTGAACTGAATATTAAATTAATGTATTTATGAATTTAAAGTTATAAAGTTACACCAAAATTGAACCTCAATGTGATATTAATGATCAAATTTAATAGTATGGCATGACTGATAATTTGAAATACCAATAGATCAAAGCCTAATTAGAAATTGAACAAGCTTTGGTCAAAGAGGAGCACACTTGGATGAAAAAAGCTAAAATCATATGACATAAGTTTTGGGATAGTAATACCTCTTTTTTTTTTTTCATAAAATGGATAAGACTATAGGATCAAGAAACATTATCATTAACCTAAGGAATTGTGACATTTTGATCTGTGACTCTAATAATATGGCTGACTTTATGGACACCTTTAAATATTTAGTTATTGTTGACTTCAAACTTATGCTCATGTCAAAAAGAGTATATTTATCCCGAGTGAATATGTTCTTCTCAAATTTGTATCTCATTGATGAAATACTTTAAAGCAAAGTAAAGAGGTATAGGATAAAACTCTTATGAGAAATGCTAGGCCTCCTTCATGAAGATACAATCATTGAGTTTGGAGATAAAATTAATTCATACAACTACATCATTGTTTTATCCTCTCTTATGAAAGAACCATCATCATCTATACCTTATCCTTTTAGTGCATGATACTTCCACCCTGAAAGTCGCATGATTCACTATGTAATCAATCACACTCTTTTTCACAGAAGGAGCAACTTTAGTCTCATAACCCAAGTTGATGTAGAAGCAATATGGTTTAGGGAAATGTAACGCCTCAAACTTCCTCTGAGATTATCAATTGACCCCATAAATCAACACGAGTCTTTTCAGCATGACTTGTTCTCACTCACACGCTTTTCGAGAAATTTCTCAGAAGGCCACCCACCCCAAAATTTCTCCAAGTCAAACACGCTTAACTGCGGAGTTTTTATGGAACGGATTACCGATATGCATCTTGTTGATATAGGTAGTACTTATCAATCCTTATAAGTCTTCCTTCAACCATCCAATCTCTTCCCTACACAACCTCATGCTCCCTCTCATTCTGATGTGCAGACCACTCCTCACCCTCTTCGGCCTCGAGTGTTACATGTGGTGCAACCACTCCTTGTTCTCATCGGCTTCAGGTGTTACATGTTCATCAGCTTCCACATGGTTCGTCCTCGAACCACATCGTAATGGGAGAGGTATGGCTCTGATACCACTAATGTAACACTCCTTAAAATCCCACTAATTAATTTAAATTAATTAATTTAATATCACCACACAAGGGTGTCAAACGTCATACAAACATAAAACAACCATGCTCTGTAACACAGATTACTGAAAAAGAAGTTAAATCACACATTTTCATACCTATGTTACACGATATCCAAACACATCTTATCACTCACCTGGGATGTTACACGACATCCAAACACATATGAATAGAATCGTAGCAGAATACAATTGAAACATATAATCAAACACATCATTGGTCTCATAAAATCCTTTTCATCTTTAACCAAAATAAATAAGAAAGTCATAATGTTCTACTCTCAACACCATAACACCTGGGTTCAACAAATAATCAAAAAAAGTAAATAACGCAGAAACGGTTTCCATCCTGATGTTACATGATAAGATCAAGACTCTACTACAAATAAATGACCTAAATGGAAGACATTCAAGAGTTATCCTTCCACTTACTTCAACGAATCTACTTCTGAGAATCTTAAATTGACGCTCATTGAGCTTTCTTGTTGTTGGAGTTCCACCTCACTCTCCTTCTTAGATCGCTCCCCTTAGGTTTTTCTGCAGTTTTCTCTTTTTCCCAAATTCCAGTACTGATGAAAAAACTTTCCTCCCAACTCTCTTTTTCTAATAATCATATTTTCTCCTAATTAAGCCTTCTCTCTTCTATCCCAACTTATTCTCATAATTACCAGCTGGCCCTTAATTTCTCTACACAATCTTATTTCTTTTATTTTATTTAATTAATAAAATCAAATCGTTATTTTAACTAATAAAATAATTTTAATTTATTTCCTCTTCCTCTAATTAATCTCTACACCATACGATAAGGCCACACACCTTTTCTCTCATCCATATTTATTTAATCATCCACATATAATAATTAAATAAAAACATAACATTATAATTAAATTTAAATGAAATAATTTATTAAAAAGGGGGTGTTACAGAAAACAAGGTCAAATTAATTGAACACAATAAGCAATCGACTACATGATGGAGAACAAGAAAGAAGAAGCACACCTTCCATATAGAAATCTAATCACAAAAATTCTAGAAGAAGCAAGATACAACTTTGAAGATAAAGAATTCAAGGAAGAAACAACTAAAATAGGAAAATTTGTCCTATCATGAATGAAGTTTGGGCTCATAAATGGAAGGATTGTTGAAAAATCCACCATCAAATGATAAGAAAAGAAAAGTAAAGGTCAGGAAATACTCATAGAGGTAGAAAGCTCTGACAATTCCTTTTCTCAACTACCCACAATCAAATACATCCTCAAAATCATAAGTGGGAAGATAAATGTTTCACTGGTCAAAAGTACACGTGTGCATATTCCCCTGCAAAGGCAGAGAGACTTAGAGGCCTTAGTAGGTTTATAAGACGTTTAAGTGGTGAGGGTTTTCCCACGCAGGCGAGAAATCTTGTACCGTGGTGTTTTGAGGTTTTTAGGAGGGCTTCTCATGTAAGGTGGGAGGCTCTGCTGATGACCAATGATGTTTGGTAATAAGCATATAATCACTGATGGTTGTGTGTTAAGACGGTAGTGAGTGTTGAACTCTCTAGGGTGTTAAGAGTGCGTATTACTTGGGGTCTGTCCCATATTCTTGAGAAGAGATGTATTTATAGATGTATCTATGACCTAATGTTTCCTCGGAAAGGGCCACCGCCCACTTAGGTAATAGTGAACAGTTGAATCCCTAATTCCAAAGGAGTTATGGATCAGTTAATGACTTTGACTTTCTCTCTATCCAAGAAACATTTTATTCTATGCTTCTCATGTAAGGGCGAGGGGAGATTTCAGGGCAAGGAAATACCTCCCTTCAGGCGACCTTTTATCGTCACTTCTCTTAGGGAGGTCCAACGACATCGCATAAGGCTAGGCCTTTTGCAAATATAACAATACATAGTCCCTTGGACACGAGGTATTTTATAGAAGACGGATTGTCTTCCTATTCACATTTGATGGGAGTATCCCAAGAACTAGAGGATTCCTCTCTTGAGGCCTTTAGCTAACCTGCTTAGGTGAGAGTGTGATTATTCTATGGAACATGAGTCCCTTAAGTAGAGGTTTACATAGCTCGGCTGATGATTCTGTCAGCCGCTCAAGCGAGGTGTTTGACCCATTAGGACTGGACTTCAATCGAGCCCTCAAGCACAACTAGAAAATTCACTTCTAGTGACCAAAATAGTGACCGAAAATTTGAAAAATCGGTCACTAAGTTCACCAGTGACTAAATTCGCGACCAATACTTTGCAGTAGAAAAAACCCTGGTCGCTAGTCCATAGGGACCATCTCAGAGAGCGTTCGTTAATGATCGAATTTAGAGACCGAAATCAAAGACCGATTTTAACGACCAATTTCAGAGACTATTTTTGTGACTGATTTGAAATTAATTTCTCTTCATTGTATGGTAAAATTAGTTTCTATTTCTGTCTCTGAAGTCTGAGTTTTTTTTAAAATTATTTTTATTAATAATTTACAATCCCTATAACCAATTATTTTGATCTAATTTAATATCTCTAAAACTATTTCATAAACACAAAACAATTAAACAAGCACATAATAATATGAACCTAATATATTTAAGTATTACTAAATACTTATCAAAAAATATATAATCAATCCAAAATAAAATTAAGCTAAGTTATCACTAGTACACTTGCAAGAAACATCAGTGAATTGGTCTTCAACATTATCAGACATATACAAAAGGGATAATAAATTCCTTTCAATTCTTGCATACAAAAAGTCAATATCCTAACTCAAAAAACAACTGCAAAATATACAAAAGTAAGTCACGCTATTACACTTGTCATTCTTGACCTATTTCTTCACCATCATCATACATATCATCATTATCATCAACCACATCATCATTATCATCAACCACATCATCATTATCATCAACCACATCATCATCATTATCATCAACCACATCATCTTCATGAACTTGATATCTAATATATGGCTTGGGCTGAAAATTTAAGCTTTCCATCAATTGATTAGCATATCACGAAGTTCATCTCTTTTCTTTCTCATTTCTTCCCTTTCAATTATCATTTCCCTTTCAATTTTCAATTCTTCAAATTCATGTCTTTGCACTCATTCTGTTGACGCAGAACTTGAACAACGATAGTTTCGAATGCTTGCAAATAAAAAAGATTCACTCCCAATACCATATACATTTCCTTTCCTTATTCCTGCGACCTCGGTCCACACAACAATTTCCTTTGGTGGCCAGGTTCTTCGCGAAAAGATCCTTGGTGGGTTAATTCTTCCCACTTACATTTATACTTTCCATATTTGACACAAATATAAGACTAATTAATATTTTAAAATTAAGTAAAATAAAAGGAAATCAAGATGAAAAATAAAAAAAAATATTTAATGTTGAATACTCATTACATAAACATGTTTCGATCTTCGATCAACCCAAGTCTCATTCTTACAAAGTTAGTGTGTGTGTGAACAAATAAATCTAAAGAAGTGTGAGGAGTGCCATTATGTTCCGTCTATAACAAAATAAAGAATATGAATTAGAACTAGAAACTAAAAAATAACCAAATTTTAAAGAAATATATAATAACAACTTTGCACATAGATTTAATAACAAAATATAAATATGTACTACATTAGCAATCAAATATATCAGCCACTAAATCATGTCACATGCATTTAATTGCTACTGTAGGTTTGGTTTGGTTTTAATGGCAACCCACCAATCAATCTTTTTTTTCAATTTTCCTGTAGTCGGATGTCGATGTATATTATGTAATGTAAGTAAAGTATATAGATAATGTATGGTATTAATTAAACAAAACATATAGGTAACGTATGGTATCTAAGTTAAAAATGAACAAATAACAAACCAATAGTCTAAATCTTTAACAAATTATTCTAAAAACATAAATAATAGTAGAAAATCTAGATCATAATGACTTGAAATCAATGATAAGTTACTATTATGATTGAGTGTCATCATAATTCCAATTTTAAATTGTAATTTTTCATACTAAAATTACATTGACATAACAAACCTTATTGAGTAAGCTGAATTGAACAGTATCAGCTATATTGTCATAAACATAAACACGGAAACAAACATCTATCAAAATTTCTCACTCTTAAAAACACAAGACACAAAAAATGAACTAATTGATTAAGAGTCTCGAACAAGTAGAGAAATTCATTTGACTAAAAAGAAAAAATTCTGAAACTCGTTTGACTAAAAAAGATGTAGCAAGAAAATACTATACCAAAATTTCTCACAAAATTTCATCAAAATTAGGGAATAAAACAATTTTGATCCAATGAAAAACAAAACCAATTATAGCATGATTCGAATCTAACAGTATATATCAAGATGCAAAAATCATAAATAAAGAAGAAAATAATGAAGATCTCCATGAACACAAAAAGTACTAATTAAATAGAAATAAGAAGAAAAAATTATTATTAACTTAAGTGATTAAGGTTTTAAATGGTGTCAAACTCACAAACATTTTCTACCATAGTGTGGTAGTAACTTTCCTACAATTTGAAACCTAGATGTGTTTTATATATAGCATGCATCTGGAAACTTTAATATGCTCAAGTTCATGAGAGTAATAATGGTAAGAAAAATGTAACATCTTTGTCCCAAGAGAAAATCACACATTCAAGCTGTCAAACAACGCACGAGATATAACAACGGTTGTATTATTTAACTGTTGGGAAATTTTCTGCTGAATTAATAAATTTAATCCTGCTTTTATAATTTTTCCCATTTTTTAACCTGTATTTTGATGGATCATATCAAAGCAGAACAAACAATCACAGCAGAACCGACAATTTGCATTTGTGATATAGTTATCATAATAATAATAATAATTGTATCATAATAACAATAAAAATTGGATTAAGAACCAAAAATTGTATACTACTTCAAAACCAAAATGTCACAATTAAAACAACATACACTTTACACATTACATAACACCACATAATTGTATATTGGTGTTTTAGTTTCATGTCTTGTCTCTTGGTGTCTTGTCTCTTAGTGTCTTGTCTCTTGGTGTCTTGACGTATAAATACCTATGATTTCAAATAATCATAATTGCATTAGTTAAAATACGTAGAAATTATAACATACAATTAATATATTATGAATTAAGAATAAAATACTTGTTAATTTTCTCATATGCCTTCTTCATGATTGATTCGAATAGCATGCACAACATGTCCATCAACTTCATCATATGAGGAAGGAACTTGTGTTATGTTAGAAGGAGTGGACAAAATAATTAAGACTTTCATCACTAAGAGGAATGTGTTTTCTTGGAGAACGATTGATTATTTCCCTGATATGTCCTAAGAGTCGGTCACATGGAAAACTTATTTTTCTTGAGAAGCCATAATGAATGGTTCGGTCATGAAAGATATCTTGTCAAGGCCAACTCATGTAAATCCTAAGTCATCAATGTGTATACCATTACTATAATTGGGAATCCATTTGTATTTAAATAAAGGCACTTTGAAAATAACATAATCAATCTCCCAAATATCCTCAACAACACCATAGAAAGTGCTAGTTGCCAAGACAGGATTCTTATCTTTTGAACTAGAGAAGTACATCGATTAGGCTTCAACCATAACCCCACTGTTTGGTATTGTACTACGACCATCTTTTGATTTTGTATAAAAGATATAATGACCAATGTCGTATGCAGTCCAAGTTATGATATTAAATTTTAGCTCGTACGACAACCACATAAACATCTCAGAGGCACTACGATCATTAGATACCCTTTTATTAAACCAATCTATGAATTTCTTGTTATGACATTATAGCCATCCAAAATACCATAAGCAAGAAAGCCATTGATTGTGCAAAATAACATTGCACGCATCTTAAACTTTTTCCCAGAATATGCATCATCAACTTCAACGCCTTTACTCCACAAAAGTCATAAATCTTCAATTAATAGATAAAATAAACATCTATGTCATTACCAGATTGTCGTTGTCAATAAATCATCATACTTAACAAAATATACTTGCGCTTCATGCACACCAAGGAGATAGATTTTAAATAGTGAGAAGAACAGGCCACGAAGAATGATTAGTGCTAAGATTATCAAAGGGGTTAATTCTATCAGTTGCAAGCCCAAGCCTAAGGTTTCTTGGCTCAATTCCAAAATCCGGAAACAATGAAACAATTTTCTTCCATTGCAAAGAATCATCTACATGGCGAATGTTTCCATCATATTTCCTTTCATCTGCATGTCATCTCATATTCTTTACGTCATTTGAATTAGAAAAAGTCTCTTAAATTGTGAAATTATTGGCAAATACCATAACACTTTAGCAGGAGGATGCTTCCTACTAACACTGTCATTGTCATCACCATTATTGGCATTCAGTTTGGAACGTGACACATCATATTTCAGACATTGATTCAAGTCTTCGTACTCTTTCATGTATAATATGCAATCATTAAGGCATGCATGTATTTTGATATACTCAAAAACCATTGGAAACAATATCTTCTTGGCCTCATAACAACGATCCGACAATTTGTTATCTTCTGGTAACATTTGCTTTAACATATCAAGTCATTCCATAAAAATTTTATCCAACCATCCATTCTTTGTCTTCAGATTAAACAACTTTAACACCACAGAAAATCATGTAAAACTTATGCATCCCTTATAAAAAGGGATGTCTTTATCACTATATATAGTATCATAAATATGAGCATTCTTAAAAGAAGATTCTCCAACATCACGGAACATACCCTCTAGTTGATCATCCATATATTCATCTTCATCAACTCTTTGACATTATGACGCCTGACTTCCCTCATTATCCACCTCACCATGTCACGTCCATATTATATAATTTTGACATATACCAACAACACATATGTGATGGAATATTTCATCCTTTGCACCTTTACGGATATTCTCGTATTTAACACAAGGATAATAAAAGATATCATTATTGTCGGGAACATTTTTATCAGCGTATTCAAGGAACTCATAAACTACATTCTCATAAATTGAACCTAATCTATCGGCTTTCATCCGACTACGGTCTATAACAACTTCTGAAATTTATACACGAATAATAATGTTAATGACACACTAAAATGTAAACCAAAAACTATAACTCTAAACCTTAAGCATATGAATATAATATTTTTATTCACTTCTATATCCAACAGAACAACCAACAAACGACATATATATACAACATTGAACACAAGAAAGATATTCGGGGTAACAAACAGAATAACTAACAAATGGTATATATGAACCAAGAACAGTATACAACATTAACGAAAAAAAGGATTGAAAACTGAAGATGAAGAGTATCATACTTTGAAGATGAGGACAATAACAAGAATCAAAATGTTGAAGATTTGCGATTGAAATGAACAAGAATGAATATATTGAAGATTTGTGATTGAAGAGTATTGTACCACTGTTGTATTTGTTTCGCTTGTTCGCCTAGGACATCTTATGAAAGAAATGGGGATTAGATTATTTTAATTTATCAGTAAAACATTTGATCATGGTTAAACACCATAACCGTAGTGAAATTTTAAACAATCTAACAACGGTTGAGTCAACCACCGTAGTAACATCCTTTTTATTTTTTATTTAGAAAAGAAAAAAGAAAAAATGCGCCTTAATGTTAAAGGAATAAATTATTTGATGGATCTGAGTTCGAACTCAAGAAAACATGGTTGTATAACCACGATTATGGCAACAACCGCTATTATATCCTAACAATTTTTAATGAAAAAATAAAAATATTACCGTCTGAGTTTATAGATGTCACCACTGTGTTATGAAGAACCGTGGTGAATTGGGCATTGTTGTTTGCGCGTTTTATAGTAGTGTGTTCACGATTTTACGACAACAAAGCTAGGGTTGGCGGAGCATTTTGGAAAAAATATAACTGTAAAACTGTATTTTAAGAATAATATATTGTGCGCTCAAAAGGAAAGAT